AGCGTTATTGATCTCCTGCACACTGACTGCCCGAAATGTGCAAACAATGAATAAATGTATTTTAAGATTGGTGTATGCAGGCCCGTAGCCAGGAATTTTTTATGGGCGGGGGGGGGGGGGCACTTGCTGAAAGCCTTTACTATTTGAGAAAAACGCCTATTTTCACTATTTAGTTTCGGTAAAACGCCATGTGTCATAAAAATTTCGCCCCAGCCCGTCTATGGGCCTGGGTGTACAGCAGCACCGATAATATCAAAATCTGCAATATAGCGTGAGAAAAATCCGCGGCAACCGTAGGCTGGCGTGCCATAATAATAGTAAAAGTTGCAGTGGCACCATGACATGGCATCTATCTGAAAACAGGCTGCCTGTGCGAAGCTGTTCGTGCCACTACATCTCTTCTAGGTCACTATACAACAGACCAAGCCGGAACAGTGATGATTGTGTGAAGCGTTCAGCCGCGTTGAAGAAAAGAAAGCTGTACTTAGCACCTTCTGAATATCGCAAGCGACAAGCTACAATGAAGGTTATCAACGACAGAAGGGGGTTGTGCGAACGGTAATCATGTGATGGTTCCTGGTAGCGAACGACACATTGTGATCTCGCGAGTCTTGAGAGACCCAGTGGTTGCTGGTGTGGCCAAAAATTGGTGAGTGACCTCTTCATGAATTTCCTGTGTAATGCTTGTCAGGTAGTGCTAAACCTGGATAATATAGGGTCAATAAACCAAATAAGTGATCAATACTTGTCTAATTTCACAAGACGTCAGTGAAAAGTCAGCGGAATTCTGATAATGCACTGTTTGTCTACGTGTTTTTTTTTCTTAACATAACTTCGGTAAAGCAAAACAGAGAGGTGAGCGAGTTCGTACTGATTCATTTTAGCATAAATGTAGAGCAAAAAAAGTGAACATCACAAGCGCTTGTGATTGCTCACTTTATTGTACTCGTCCTTTTTTGCACACCATTAACGCCTAATAACTCCAGCAAATCGAATCAAGTCGCTGTAATATTTGGAGCGCTGATTAGTTATCCAACAATAGAAAATATAATAGTATTGGGTTTATTCTATCAAACATTTATATTTGGTGCAGGTAAACCTAACCGGTTGAAAGATAAGTTCGGTTTTGTCAGTACACATAAACGGTAACATTTGTCCGCTTCAATAAACGCCAGGTCAAGATCTAACACTGTGTAAAAATTATTTTGATAGAATATGTAAGCTGATTTAATAAAACTTAAATAACTAAAATCAGTGTTAATTCTTCATAAAGGTAGTGAACTGAGGTAGGGCAATGTAATTGATACAGACATTTAGAACCCATACACGCACTCATAATTGTGAAAAGGGTATTTAGTTTCAATAAATGGTATCTGAGATAATAATTCAGATAAGTAGAGTAGACTCTTCGCGGGACGTGGTGCTTTCAGAAAAAGAAAGAGAGTGGCGAAAAAAACTCACAATACTAGAGACGAAAATGCAAAAAAAAGAGTAGTTGCTTGGCAGAACGAGTCGTGCAGCGACCGACGTTTCTGTGATTCTATCACAGAAACTTCGGGGGGGGGGGGGGGGGGGGGTGTAAAGCTAACCCATATGACAGCCCGACACAATACTCCAAGACGGAGGGGACACTTTAGTGGAAGAAAGTGAGAAAACAAAGGACAAGGCACCCTTTCAAAATTGCCGTATTTTCGGTGTTGAAGATGGAAGAAATTATTATCCTTGCTGCTGCATATTTTTTCCACTTTTCACTCGTGCTACCATGGCTGGGGCTGCAATTTTTTTTTCGGAAGATGGAAGAGTAAACAGTGCTGAGACTTAGTTTTAACCTGGGTTGTGAACAGAAAAGGAAAAAAGAAAATTTCTTCAAGCCTGGGAAACTCGTCGTTACGCTTGCACCTGCAACACCTCCTGTGGCATCCGAACGTGTGCACGGACATTTCAGTTGTGTAAACTGGTCCGCCTTCCCTTATTTTTTTGAAAACGCAGTTGGCGCAAATGCCGTAATGTTTGTGGTTTTTAGTACTAATTTGTTTTGTTACGTTGAAGTAAACTTTTCTTTATTTTGTGCTTGAAGCTGTTCAATATGAAGAAATACATACTTATACAATAACTACTCTGAAAAATGTTTAGAACGACAAGTATTGAAACAGAGCGGTGAGTGCAAATTAAAAATAAAACAATCTCAACTTATGCTGAAAATTATTCTACAGAGGAGTTCAAGCTAGGCTTTTTTTAAAGACAGGCCGCAACCATGCAAACTGTAAGAGCCCACTTTGTTGGAAGTATGACGATGAGCACGCACTCAAATGCGACTCTAATGTTCAGAGTTATTAATAGATAAAGTTAAGAAATTATCGGGAGGGGCATTCCTGATACCGTCTACAAGAGTGCCTAAATATGATGATTTTAGTCAAAAATCGCTTTTCAATGTTTCAGCAAAGGCAGAGCTAATGATTTAGAAATATATAAAAAAAACTTTGGCCAGTTTTAAACTTTTTTCGCGTCAGGGAGGTGGGTTTTTATGATGTTGCGGCTGTCTCACACTGAAGTACATCGAATGTGCTTCTTGATATTCAACGCTCATCCTGTCTTTGCGTGAGTGTGTGTGTAGTCAGTTTCAAAAGTAGCTTCTTCGCACTTTATAGTCCGTGGCTTGGATGTTCTCGGTTTCTGTGCCTCTCCAATGATTTGCAGAAATGTATAACTAATTATTACTAAATTTTGCAGGGAACAATCAGCTCAACCCTTGCGTAATCAATTAATCTGATGGATTGTCCTTCGGGGATGGTGAAGAGTTGGGCTCGGCGGCCATGCTTTGTTCGTTTGTCGTGCATCGTTTTGCAGCATTATGGGGTTCATTTTAAAGCACCGTGCTTTGAAATTGAGTGCTGATGATATCATCGGATCTGTATTATTGTGTTTTGTGTTTAGTGCTATTTTGCATGTTTGTTTATTCTTGTCTCTTTTTTCTAAATACTCGGTAATCATCCAGAATTGGCTGCTTATTTTGAATAAATTGAATAATAAGAACTCAAGTGTTTTCTTAAATTTTGTCTGCTAGAGCTCTGTCGAAAAAAATACACAGTAGCTCGCCAGTGCTCTCATTAGAATAGGGACTTCTTTCACCTAACCAATACGTGAAACGATCAGCATACAATAAATAAACAGCGCAGCAAACACTTTAAAAAAGTACTGGTCCACCTCAATAAAATTCTGTCCCGACGAAGTAAGTACATTTGAAAAATACTCTGGAGGTAGCACACAAAATATCCCGATAGCCGGAGTGAAAAACGTGCAAAAAAATTGGGGAACTTTTAAGCTTGGCCTTTAAGAGTTGAACGCGGTAACGAAATGCGGCCCCTAGTGAACCCTTCAACCGCTAAGTGCATACTTATAATACGTTTTGCTACATACACACGTGCGCAAAAAGTAGATTGGACCAGTGCCTGCTATTATCGCTGAATGGGCTCGTTTTGTCGTGACACCTGCGAAACAAAATGCGTTAAAGGGGCTCTGAAACACTTTTTCAAGTAACCATAGAATGAATTCACTAGCAGAGCTTATTGCCTCCCGAATTCAACTCCGCAAAAATTTTAAGAATCCAACCAGTGCGAGTGGAGTTACAAAGGCTTGTCGCATGCTGCAATGGCATTATCTCTTCCCTCGTCCCGACGAGAGCCCTGGAAGCTAAGCAGGGAGTGGCGGCAGGGCAAAAAAAACTACCACGCCTCGTGACCTTGAGCACTTTGTTTTTCTTCGAACGCGTGGCTTTTTCATTGTGATCGCGCGCGCATGCGAGGACAAGTAGTGGCCTCCCGCAGCTATCTCGGTAACTTGATTTTTCGGTCACAGACGCACAGACGCACACACCATTTTTCACTCACAACTTACGGGACCGACACCAGCGGCAGGCTTTCTGCGATAACAGCTCTCTAAAACACTATTGCATTAAAATTCTCCCGAGGTTCCACTTAATCAGTCCGGCCCGTCGGAGGAAAATGTAAGTAGAAAGTACTCCGACGGCGCCACGCAATTGCTCCGGTCGGCCGGAGTGAAATATCTTTTGAAAGTACTTCGGGTGGGCCACGAAATTCCTGCGGCGAGCCGGAGCAAAAGTTTTGTTCCAGATGTCTAAAGCAAAAATTGCTCCGAATAGGGAGTACGCAGAAGAACAAGCGTTTTACTCCGACCTCGGAGTATTTTTTTACAGTGTACAGCTCGCGCTGTAAAACTATTAGGTCCTTTCAGTGCAGATGTTTTATTCGGGGATGTTTTGGATGTATTAAAGACTCGTGCTGTTTGATTTGCGATAGCCGCCATGACATGGTGACCCTATGTTAACAGAAAAACATGAATAAACAGAAGTCATGGTGATAATGCTTGGCAGAGTTCTCGCGTTGCAACATTTCTGAACTTTTTAAATAATCATTTATTTCTTTATTTATTTATTTGATGCTCTCAACCACGTGCTTGGGGTCATTACAGGGAAGGTGTCAAATAATACATAATATTCACGAAATAAAACAGTGTTGAATAGCACATAGAAATAACGGATGAATAATCAGCATTTTCCAGTTTGCTTTAGCGTCAATCAACACGTGCGCTGCATACGTGGTCTTGTTTTAACAAACTATAGAATAGATTTTTTAAGATAGAAAAACAAGTGCACATGGAGCACTTTGAAGTGCGCTAATAATATGCGGTGTATTATTTTTTAAGCACAGCAACAGTTATGTGGCACTATAAACAAGCGTTACGAGGAAGACATTTCAGAAGTGCTGGCCAACTTACCTTTAGTAAACAAAGTACTTTCAGCTATGCGTTTTTGTAGTTGCAGTGGAATAAGGTAGAGTTGTTAATGTGATCCACCGAGGCAACTGAGCGGTGAGGCATTTAAGTCTAGTCGCTTTTCAAAGGGTGGCTGTTCAAAATAAAAATCATCATGATGACTTTATTTGTAGAAACTAAGTGCATTTTGTTTCTAATATTATTTTCAGGGCCACATTGACCTCATCAATGAGGATGGGTCAGTGCATAAAAGATTGCCGCTTGCAATGCAATTCTTCAACCCGGGTGAGCTTACGCAACCGGGAAACATCGACCGATTCTACCGAGGTCTCATCACCCAACCATCCCAGAGCTACGACGGCTTCATGAGTGAACAGGTATATGTGAATACTGGAATCACTACGAAATCTTCGCCCTGATGAAATAATAGGAATTCTAAATACTCGTACAGCCATCGGAGTTACCTTCTAGTGCCGCAATATTTACAAAAAAATGGCAATGCATAGAGACACATGTATACATACATTAATTCAGATGTATGAGTTACTTCGCGAGTGATCGGAAGACTAGTGAGTGAAAAGGCATGGCATGACTAATTGAGAACAAGCTCGTTACAACCAACTTGTTTCTGGGCGTCACTGGAACGCGCTTCTTGTATAAGGACTGCTTTTTCTTGGTTGTGTATTTATGCTCCGGCCACAGTATAAATCGAAGTTTTCTGTTTGCTGATAGTGTTAGTTCGCTCTGGTAGATTATCTAAAATAGACATTCGTAGCGTAACAACTACACTACGGCTGGCTTTACACGATTTTACACTCCTCCTTTCAGGTAGGTGTCACCTGTGTTCGTTTCTCGCCAGATGTGATGAACGTTTTCAGAGTCAACGAAGCTTTGATTTGACATGGTAAGCGACTAGCATTTTTAGGGCCCGTAGTAAAACTCGCCGAAGACAAAGAGAAGAAGAAGAAGAAGACAAGGAGCACGGAAGAGCACGCGTTACTAAGCAAAATAAAAAAGAAGATTCTTGCTGTCGTTCTCATCGAACGCAGTCTACGCTTGTCTCGTCTCATTTCTGCTACATGGTGCCGTGTCCAGGATAGCGGCTCCTCCTCTTCCTACTAGCCACAGAATACCAGGACGAAGGACAGGCCACAGAGGACGGACGAAGACAAGGCCCAGTGCGAACCGACGGCAGCGAGACGGGACATCGTCATCTGATCGAGAGAGCGGCACAGACACGGAAGACAACACAGCCACGGATCAATATTCGCCGCTGAAATTTGTAAGCAACCAGCCGTTTCCTCAATTATTCAAAATTAACAGGGAAATAATTTCAAAGAAAAGAAAAACGCTGAGGATGCAAATAATCCACCTAGTGAGTGAAGCAGACAATAGGCTTCATGAGAATGAAGACCCTAAGGCAATATCGCTGATAGCCGGCCAGATTAGAGGCATCGCCGACATGCTAAAGAAAGTTGACGAAGACATGGAACAGTACATAACGCCGGAAACAGCTGAAGCCGAGTTTGCGAGGACCGCTGAGTACGAGCTAAAGACGATTAGCATTCTGCATAACATCAGTGCCTACCTTTATCGACAAGAACGACGCGAGCCAGTGAGGGAACAGGTCACCTCAACTGACAATGCCAGGCAAGCGCCGCAAGCAAATGCAGTAAAGCTACCAAAGGTAGAAATAATGAAGTTTGATGTCAACAGGAGGAATTGGCAGAGATTCTGGCATCAGTTTGAATTGGAATTTCACGTGAGAATACAATTACATGAGAGTCAAAAGTTCACGTATCTTCTGTCGTCACTAACCAGGAGAGCGGCAGCTGCCGTGGAAGGACTTCAATATTCAGACAGCAATTATGTGAAAGCTATCAACGTGCTCAAGCAGCGATACGGGAAAGACGAAGCGCTTATAGAAATGCACATGAAAGAGCTAACTAAAGTACAGTAGCAAGCTGCAGTGACTATGAAGGATCAAGAAGGCTGTCAGACAAAGTACAAGTGCATACACGTGGGCTGGAATCATTAATCGGGAAAATCGAGTCCTATGCATCGATGCTTTTGCCAGTATTGAAAATATCTCCACCTGCGGAGATGCACAGGGGGTTCGTACTGAAACAAAGAGAATCGGCCGGTAGGTCTTCAGACCAAGATCACAATGAAACTTAATATCATGAAGAAACTCTGAAGCGCTTGATGAGGTATATAGACGACCAAGTTGAGTGCAGAGAGGAATTAGTAAAGCGCAAGGAAAGCCACGGCAACAAATTTGACAGTAAGCAACAGAAAAGAACGATTAATTTTCAAATCACCATGGCAAAGTTTTGCATGTTCTGTGAGACTAATACCTACTATTTTGATGACTGCAGAAAGAATATGCCATATGAAGAGAAGAAAATGAAACTAAAAGCGTCTCAAAAATGCTTCCATTGAACGAGGTCTCGACATACCGCCAAAATATGGAAGTCAAGCAATAGATGCAAGATATGCGGGAAAAGGCCCACAACGTCTATGTGCCCAGAAAAAGAGCTCACAGCACAGGGCACAACAGCCATTCAAGGTAAAAATAAAAATCAGGAAGAACAAGAGTCAACCTGCTAATATACGAATATATCGTCAAGCATTTTCCTGCAGACTAGAATGGTGATAGCAGAAGGTAGAAGCAAATCGTCCTGTTGTCGCAATCTGTTGGACATTGGTAGCCAAAGAACATTCATCCTTAAGAGCTTGTCAAAAAAGCTTGGTTGCACGATCAAAGGAAAAGAAAGACTGACCATAGGCTCTTTCGGAGAAGGACAAGAGGAAAGCTATGCATTCAGTTGAAGTCAAACTTAGAAGCGCATATAGTGACGAAGAGGTTATGTTGGAAGCACTCGAGGTTGACGTTATATAAAAAAAATACCACTCCTACCAGTTTTCCTGAAGAATAAGTATGAAAACGACGGATTAAAATTCACTGGCGGTTTATGTAGAAGCACAGTCTACAGAAAAATCGGAATCCTTGTTGGATCAGACCAGTACTGGCAAATAGTACGCGGAGGCATTCGAAAGCTGGAAGAGAAGCTGACAGCAAGAGAGACCATTTTCGGTTGGACGGTGCAGGGCAAAACTAAGTTAGTCGCAACGTTAACGAAACGGTCAACCGTATTAGTACTTTGCGTTGAAGTGGACAACTCTGTCATAGATACAAAGCTAAGCCATTTCTCGGACATAGAGCAAGACGCGAAGAAAGAAGAGAGTGTGATAGAGTATTTCAGCAAGAACTTAAAGTGTGAAGAGCAAAGATACTCAGTACGACTTCCATGGAAAGATGCTGTGGAACTTGATGAAAACAAGGCTGTCGCAATGACCAGATTGAAGCAAGTCACTTGAAGGTTACAGAAAGACGAATGCGCATTGCGACGTTACGTCAATGCTATCGGAGAGTATTTGGCTAGTGGAGTGGCAGAAGTGGCCGAGGAACAAAAGGCGCCAATGACATACTGCTACTACATGCCGCATCAAGCCGTCATCAAGGAAGATCGTAAAACAACAAAGATAAGAATAGTACTTCATGCATCATTATCATCCACATAAGGGTCATCTCTAAATGACAACCTAAAAACTGGACAGAATCTCAACTGTGATCTCGTGCACATGCTGATGAACTTCCGACACCATCGCATTGCAATGACAGCTGATATTGAGAAGGCATTCTTACAGATTTCAATAAACGAGGAAGACAGAGACGCACTGCGTTTTCTTTGGTGGGACAGAATTCCGAGTGGAAGCGATGTGAAGATTGTAACATGAAGAATGTCAAGAGGGAAGTTTGGCACTGCCCCCAGTACTTTCTTGCTCACAGCAAGAGTACAGCACCACTTCAGAAAGTTGAAGGAAGAATTTCCGGAGATAAATCAACAGTTGAGGAGAAACATCAACGTCGACGACATAATAATGGGAGCCGAATAACCCAAGGAAGCCAAACAACTTTACCGGGAATCAAAGAAGATTTTCCCCGGAGGCGTCAATGACTCTCAGAAAGTTGAACACACAAATGAGCCTGAATTACAACAAAACAAAAAGAAAGAGGAAAATGCAAGCTCCGGGGATTCCACCAAAATAAAGGTCCTTGACATCAGATGAAACTTAGATGACATCAGATGAAACGATGGTAGGCTGTACCTACCATCGTTTGACATAAAAGACGTCGACACCAGCGTCGCGCTAAAAAAGCGCCAAATGTTACAGCTCGCTGCAAGAGTATACGATCCTCTGGGACTCTTCACTCTATTCACGCTTACAGCCAAGCTAGAAGTTCAAATAATGTGGCGGAAAGGGACGTCTTGGGACGACTCGTTGCCAGATGATAAAATGGAGACTTGGAGGAGATAGATTAAAGAGATGGAATCAATTCAAGGGTTCAGTGTGCCACGATGGTTCAACGTAAGACAATGGAAGAAGCGTATACACACAGAACTTCACTTGTTTTCAGATGCAAGCCCATGTGCATACGGAACAGCGACATATTCGATAAATCACTACGAGAAGGAAAAAGAGGCTGAAATGCTAATTGCAAAAGGAGGAATAGCGCCAATGAAGCAAATCTCGTTTTCATGACTTGCGTTGTTGGCTGCGTGGCTGTCTGCACGCATTTCTGAATACATCAGAAGTGGATTTGTAAGAAATATAAACGCTACAAGACAGTGGACAGACTCGACCATCGTTCTTAGTTGGCTACACGAAAAAAAAAACGAGACAGGTTTGTAGAGAATAGGGTGAAGGAGATAGAATAAAAAACGAAGCTATCAGAGTGGAAATACATTGCAAGTGAAGAGAACCCAGCTGATCTTATGACCAGAGGTGTAAGCGCAAAGGCTTTCATACAGTCGTATCTATGGTGGCATGGTCCAAAGTGACTTGTTACGGAAACAAAGACCACAGGGCAGACGGAAACGGAAGAAGACACTGAGAGTAGTGAATGTTCTGCAACTACACGTCAATTGTGGTCCTGATCGACAAAGAGAAGTATCGAACCTACATAAGATTGCTCAGACTAACAGCTCGGATACTGGGATACATACAGCTTATAAGAAAGAAGCGGATTCTCAGCGATCTGAGTTTTGAGGAACTAAAGAATGCAGAGACGGGGATAATAAAATGGGAGCAACGAAAGATACGGGAACATATACTCTCAACAAGAGCATTACGACTAGGACAACAAGGATCTTTCTTTGTGGTATCGTAGTCTTTGAAGATGAACAAGGACTAATAAGGCCCAAGGGTCGTCTGTCTCAAAGTGGACTGACATACAACGAAAAACATCCAATTGTCCTACCAAAGGGAACGGCTGCTACTAAGCTGCTACTACACGACATGTGCATGAACT